GAAAATTCATGGCATTCCCCAAATGATATGATCCAGTTCTTGATCATGAATTTCAGCTGTTTGAAGAAGGCAGTAAAGGTGAATAAAGAGTGACCACTGACAGCGAAGCATTAGGGAGAGGTCTCACTGTTGAATTACTGAATTAGGGAGTTCACAAAAGGTGAATTGTAAGAACAAGAGAGTGTTCACAGAGGTCTTGAATCAAGTTTGAGGTCTTGAATCTAGGGCAGAAACCGTGTAACTGGGCCGAGGTAGGGTAGAACAGATTTGTGGAAGTACAGTGATCCTGAGAAAAAATTGATAATATGTAGATGGAAGTCACAGGAAGGAGGCAGGAACCATGGTGGAAAGCATGTTCCATGTGGTAGAATACTCAGCGAATGAGAGAGATCAGCAGAAGTCTGAAAAGAAAAGGTTTTGTGTAGTCAGGATTGCCAAGATGTCGTAGGTTATTATTTTAAGATACGTTACTTTTGTTTATGTTGCATTTTTTAACTCTGTGAAGCTGTGTCATTTTGCCTGTCTAAAACACCTGATGGTCTAATAAAGAACTGAACAGCCAATAGCAAGGCAGGGGAGAGAAATAGGCAGGTCTGGTAGGCAGAGAGGACAAAGAGAAGGAGAAATCTGGGAAGAAAAGGGATGTAGGAAGGAAAAAAGGAGGCCAGAGTAGGAGGAGGACCCCAGGGGCCAGCCACCCAGCTACACAGCAAGCCACGGAGAAAGAGTAAGATTTACAGAAATAAGAGAAAAGGAAAAGCCCAGAAGCAAAAGATAGATGGAATAATTTAAGTTAAGGAAAGCTGGCAAGCAACTAGCCAAGCTATGGCTAGGTATTCATAATTAAGAATGAGCCTCCGTGTGTGATTTGGGAGCTGGGTGGTGGTCCTCCCTCAAAAAAGCGAAAAAACAAACAACTACACCAAAGGGGTTGGGAAGGTGGGGCTGGGAAAGTGTTTGCTGTGCAAACATGAAGACCTGACTTGAGTCCCTCAAGCCAATGCAGAAAGGTGGTCTTCACGGCATGTGCTTGTAACCCAGGTGCTGGGGAGATGAAAACAGGTGCATCCCAGCCAGCGTAAACTCTTTGGTCTCAATGAGAGACCCTGACTAAAAATACAAGGTGGATGACTCCTAAGGAGTAGCATCCAAGGTTGACCTACACACACACACACACACACACACACACACACACACACACACACACACATACACACACACACACACACACACACACACACACACACACACACACACACCAATTTGGCATGGGCTTGAAAGAAGCTGAAAGTTTGGATTCAGAAAGGAAGGGAGACACAGCTAGAAAGCAGCTGCTAGACGAATGGAGGGCATTTTCCTACGTAAGAGAAATATTGATTAGCATCTGTACACATAAACACACAAACATTCTTGTACACAAACACACATAGAGTCATGTGTTGCATAAAGACCTTTTGGTTAACAACAAACCACATATTTGATGGTGGTCTGTAAGAGTCTATCTTGTCAGATATCCCCACTGTCTTAGTTTATGAATGTATACCCTACGAAAATCACACAATAATGAAATCTACTAATGCCTTTCTAAAAACTTATCGTAGTGTGTGATGGTATACACATGTATTTGTACACACATGTTATTCATATATAACTACACATATATAAATAAAATCACCCCATTCTGTATGCTAAGTGAACTTACACAACCTAGCCTGTCCACAGGGAAGCTCTTAGATGCTGGTCCAGGTGATCTGCTTTGTTTTGCATCCTGTCTAGTTCACTGTGACCAAACCTGGGTACCATGCTCTGTTTGGTTCTACAATGGGTTGCTTCCTTCGACAATGTTTCCTTAGTAGTGGCCTCAAGCTTCCTCCTCAAAGCTCACCACCCGAACTTGTCTGGAAGGAACTAAGGGTCTTCCATCTGTTGAGTGGGGGGGTCATCCAAGAATCCTTGAACTTTGCCTGCAAGGTTAATAACCCATGTACTAGGGAATTCACCCTTGACTTCTCAGTCCAGATTCTATTCAGAGCAGGGATAAGTCAGTAATGACAGCTGACTTTCATTCTCCTGGTGCCTATGGGGAGATAATGAGTCAAACTGACCCTGCTTATGAAATGGAACCTGGAAGGGAATTAACAAACTCCTCAGTGAGGACAGCAGAGAAGGGAATTTAAATTAAAGAGGTAACAACTGATTTGGTTGGCATTCATACAATTTCCTGAAGTACTTCTTCTTCTTTGTGTCATCCCTAGATGAGACAGAGCAGACAACTGGTAAGGAAGAGGAAGGCGAGGCAGCAAAGCTCTGTGATCGCTCTTCTTCAGTAGTGCCTGTATGGGCTCTGCAAAGCTACTGGACTTGCACCATTCTGCTCAGTTCTCAGAATAATCCCTCAGGAAGGGAATGATCCTTCTTCTACCTCCAATTTGTGTGTGTGTGTGTGTGTGTGTGTGTGTGTGTGTGTGTGTGTGTGTGTGTTCATGTGCAAGGGTGTGTATGAACCTGTAAGAACATGAGTGAACAGACGTCAACTTCAGGTGTCATCTTTAGATGATGCCGTCTGCCTTTTTTTTGAACTAGTATTTTTGAGAATTTTGTCCAATGTACTTTGATGACACTCACCCCCCCCCACTCCTCCCAGAACAATGAGACGATCCCACCCACCCAACTCTGTCTCCTTTATGTGCTTAACCTATCGAGTCCAACTTGTGCTTCCACATAGTTTTAGATATGTAGCCCTCCACTGGAGTGTGGTTCATTTATCAGGGGCTGCAGTTTTAAAGAATAGCTACTCTCCCCATCCCGGCAGGTATCAATTGCCAATGGTTCCTTGGTTAGGGGTTGAGCTTTGAGTCCATTTCCTCTGTCCATGCTGTGTTTTGGTCCAGCTTAAACTTGTACAGGTCTTGTGTATGTTGTCATTATCTGTGTGAGCTCATATGTACAACAGCTTCCTGTATCCTGAAGACATTTTTCCCTGTGACTACTGCTGCTTTTGGTTTTTACACTCTTTCTTTCTCTCCCACAGTGATCCTTGAGCTCTGGGACAGCAGGAGGTGGTGTGTGTGTGTGTGTGTGTGTGTGTGTGTGTGTGTGTGTGTGTGTGTCCTATTTAGGGCTAGGCATTCCTAGTCTCTTATTCTCTACACTTTGGCCAGTTGTGGGTGTTGGTGTCATTTACCATCTAATGCAAGCAGAAGTTTCTCTGATGAGGCTTGAGAGATACACCAATCCATGATAATTTACTAGGAGTTGGTATATTATTATGTCCATTTAGCAGAGTAATAGTAGTAGGTTTTCCCCTAGGGCTTATACACAGGTTCTTGGCCCAATAATGGTGCTAGGTATGTATGTTCTCTTCCAGAGTGGATTTAATAATCAATCAGAAAGCAGTTAGCTATTCCCACAATGTTCATGCCACTATTACAGCAGTATGCATGTCTTGTCAGGTCATTCATTATTGTGGCGCTCTCAGTTCATAGCTGCATAAGACTGATGATTCGTTTTCTATACTAGTGTTGTGCACAACCCCTTCCAGAACTATGAAAGATATCTGCAGAGATGAAGTCTCCAGGTTAGTACCAGATTGACTTCTTTGTGTTCTATGACTCAAATGTGACTGAAGATGTGATGTCTTGCTGTTGAATTCTAACAATCCACTAGGATTGTCAACGGTTGTAATGTTTGGGGGGATCTATGGAAATTCAATGACCAGCAATTCTAAAAGAGGTAACCCATTCCTGTTACTGGGATTTTTATCTGTTAGCCTGTGATGCCTAGTAGGTGCATTGTTCCCTCATCATAGAGTAACTTCATTTAAACTATCATCTGTCATCTATCAATCATCCATCTGTCTCTATCTATCTATCTATCTATCTATCTATCTATCTATCTATCTATCTATCATCTATCTGTCTATTACCTACCTACCCATCTGGAATCTTCGACAGTATTAGGTTTCCATATGACTTTTTGAAAGGTTTTTAATGTTATTCATTCTTCCTCTACCATACCCTTCTATCCCCACTGAATTTCCATTCCATTACTCCCTTTTAACTCTTCAACCACTCTTTTGAAACCTTCCACCCTAAGGGTCCTCACTAATTTCCTGACCTTTTGGGGTATTCCAAATGAAACACACATATCTGAAGATTCAAAGCTAACATTCATTTTAGTCAAGGTTTGGAGCTCAATGATTCAGTTAGACTGTTGGCTAAGGAACCCCAGAGATTTGCATACATCCACTTCCCCACCACATGGTCTGGATTTTCTTCTTTAAAAGTGGTTTCTGGGGATTAAATTCAAGTCCTCATTCTTGTGTGTTAGGCACACTTTGATAACGGAGTCATATCCCCAGCCCTCTTAAGTGTAGGCAATTTAGTGTCAGTGTGATTATGCATCTTACTCAGGTCATGAAAGCACACCTGACTCCCATACCACCCCACCTTCCATCTTTTGGTTAGCGCTTCCTCAGAACCCTTATTCACCTGCCTTGGCTTTACTTAGCAGCTGGTAAGAAAAGGCCGCATCAGGAAGCCAATCAACTTTCTTGTGGTTCTCCTCCCTCTGTGTCACAGAGCTGAGCTGCTGGGTTTAACTATCACCTGCCAGCTGTGTGCCCTTAGGGAAATTACTTGGTCCCTCTGCACCTCATTTTCCCCATCTGGAAGATTGGGATGATTATAACTTTTATCTTATGGGGCTGTTGTGAAGATTAAATAATTTAAATATGTTAAGCATTTACAACTGTGGCTGGCACAGAGGAAGTGGTCGATGTTATTTTTGTAGCTGTGGCAGTTGTTTTTATTGTGAGGAGCTATGTGACTAGTAATGATGATGATCATGATGAAGGCGTCAATGATAAGATATAATCATTTGTTTTGCCTTTACTGGGGTGCCAGGGTTGACTGGGACAAGTGATTTAACACGTGTAGTATCGTAATTAACCCTCATCAGCTAGGATACTTTTGGATGCAACGACAGAAATTGCAACTGCAGCTGGTTGAAATGACAGGTCATTTATTATTGCCAGGAACAGGAAACTCAGTCTAAGGCAGGTTTCAGTATGGGTTGATTGAGGGATAAATGACCATACACGTCCCCAGGATCTTTTGACGTGCCTTCTCTGCTTTTCTTGGTTGTTGGCTTCATCCACAGTCTGTCCTGAAGATTTGTAATCCTAGGCAGCAGAGGCAGAGCAGGCAAGAAGAGATGTGTAAGAGAGGCCTGGAAGAAGGAACAAAGACCTTCCCAGAAGTCTGCAGCACACACCCGAGGGCCCCCCCACCCCCGTTTCCTTGGCCAGAGCAGTGTCCTACAGCGGTCTCTGAGATAGTGGACTGAACACTATTTCCCCATGCCATTTAGGTCAGCCTTGGAAATGAATAGTGAAACTGTGCTCCTGTGCAGAAGGAAGAGGAACTGGGTGAGTGAGAGTCATCAGGGTCTCTCTCATGTGGGTGTTGTCATTGCCTTTTTATTGAGAAAGAAATGAGAGTCTGAAAGGAGAATGATGTCATAGCATTGTCAAAGTAGAAGGGGTATTCAAAGCCAGCCCTGTCTGGTCGCAGAGTACATGTTCTTATGGGCCACACCGAATCTGTGTGTTTGGGACAGGAGAGGCGACTAATTTCATTGAACATATATGGTAAGCACATTGTAGACATATGACAACAAACTAATTAATTAACTTACTTATGTGTAAGGGTACATATGCACATGTATGTATGAATGCCAAAGTGAAACTTCTGCTTTCGTCCCTCAGGTGCAAACCACCTTTTCTCTGAGACAGTCTCTCATTGGCTTAGAGCTGGCTAAGTAGTCTAGATGGGATTGGCAGCAAGCCCGAGGGTCCCATTCTCTCTGCCTGCACAAAGCTGGGGTTACACTGCTTGCCAATACACTTGGTACTTTGAAGTGTGTTCTAGGGATTGAACTCATATCCTTATGCTTGCACAGTTGAGTCATCTCCCCAGCCCAAATTTATTAATTAAATGTATTATGCATTTTAGGATGCTTTACTATGAGAGAGAGAATCAGAGGTACATGAATGGAAACCACTGACCTAACAAAGCCCCACCTTGAACTCAGGTCTGTCTACTTTCAAAGGCCCAACTTTTTCTATGATCTCCCCCAAAATAGAATGTTCTCACATTCCTGTATTTTTGGGGATCCATATGAGGAAAACTAAACTTTTAATGAGGATCCTGATGCATTTCAACTCAATGACCCAGTTTTTTTTATTAAATCATTTTTTATTTTAGAATAAGGTACTTTCAAAGCACATGCCCTAGTGAACTTTTTCCTTTTTTGCACCTGGAGTTCTGTGACCTGTTCTTCCCACCTGCCTTCACTGAACACTTTGAGGATAAAACATCCTAATTGGCTGCTCTGATACCCCCTGGACTGCATGGAGTCAGGAGTATAGAAATTGCCTCTTTGGGTGACCGGATGGCAGCCTTCCTCTTCTCTCATGGCCACGAACAAGGAGAGAGGTGAGGTGATTTTGATCACATGAAACCCAGGTCATGCCCAGTCTTGGGTGATACGCCCTCGGAAATCACCTCTGTGCTTTCACAAATCTCTTCCAAGTTGAATACAGGGGTGGGGATTATGATTAGTGGTGACCCCACCAAAGTACCACGTTATATTAGTGTTTAATTTTCACAGATCAAACCCCTGTGATCCACAGTAGTAAAATGCCCATCAAGATGCCATGGCTATTGAGTGTGGCGTTGGAGTTGACCTGCACCTTGTATTTCCTGGGTTGTAAATTTCTGATTGGTACTTGTCAGAGTTTTATACCTTTTTGAACACCTTCCTCATATTGCACACACAGTCATATTGATTTACATTATTTTGATTGCTGGTAATAGAGACCTACTCAGATTAACATATGAAAAGGGGAGACTGTTGTACATTGTTGAGGTTTTCCCAGAGTTCAAGGGCAAATGTGTCAGAAGTGAACAGAAGCAGCTGAGATGTTGAGTGCCATGGAGACTTCCTCTCCACCTATCACATGAGCTACATAATTGATTCATTTTTCTTGCCCGATGTAGACTAGCCTCCTGTCCCCCTCCTTATATGAGAACATTGCCAACTGCACCTAACCTCTGCTGTGCGTTGAAGGAGATAGCCCCATGCTGATGTACAGATCCCTCCTCTCCTTTTCCCTTCTCTTTCACCTCTTTCTCTTGCCCAGCTAATTGGATGGTTTTTGGAAAGGGAATAATCACTCTGACAAATGGTCTGTATTTGTCTCTAACCCACTCAACTATTTTCACAGGCTTGGGAGAAATATTGTACCAAATGGCAGCTCCTGGTAGAACCTTGTAGGTGGGAGATAGGTGATGTTCTGCAAAATAATAAAGGCACATTCTAGAAGGCAACTCACATCTCTGTTTTTCAAAGCAGTTTATAGTATAATAATATCTACACATCTCGAGGACCCAGCAAATTACACACAAAACAGGACCCCATTTGTCAACACAAGTGCCCAATGAATGCTCAGTATTGTCATTTAGCCCCTTCTTTGAAACTTGAAGTGAAAAAAAAAATAAGTAGAGAAACACAAGGCCAGTGCTCTCTCCACTCAGGGAGTGGTGAAGGAAAGGCCAGGCTGCGGAAATCTTAGAACAGAACGAAGCGTATAATTTGGTTACAGAACTCAAGTAGAGCAAGACTTTTTCCCCTCCATCATCAAAACAGTGTTCTTAACCGAAGATGTGCACTGCGGTCAGCTGAGGGGCTTGCAAACTGTTGGTGTCTGTGTCCACGCCCACGGCTTTGGTTCCATCAGTCTGGGGTCTGGGTTCATACGTTAAGTTTTTAAAAAGGTTTTTGGGTGAGTTAAATTTCACATAGGGGAGAAACACTGGTTTCAAATGAGAAACGGTTTCCTGGGGGCCTGTGATGAATCCAAGAAGATACAGTAGCCACACAGCTGTCTCATCAGGGGAGCACAGAGAAGGCATGTTTACCCCCGGCAGACATTGGCAAGCCTCCGAAATAGCATTCTCCTTGGGAGGTACTGTGCTGCAGCTACTGATGGTCTCTCCCAGAGTGGGACCTGCTCTTGATAATTGTGACAGAGATAACTGAAACTTGGTGGACCTTGGGAGTGTTAAGTATACACCTCCTGGCTCCCTTCACTTCATCATCTCCCACTGCGTTTGTACTCCTGAATGTTAGAGGAAGCTCTGAAAGGAGATGCCATAACAGGTTCACACGGGTACTCCAGGCTCCAACCTGACCGATGAGCAAGGGAATCGCCTTGCTGTAGTCGTCATTTGCCCCAGGGAGGCCACTCCAGCCTCACCGTCCATTCTCTTTCTCGACAGTTAGGACAAGTGCCCTGCCTCGTTCTAGGAGAGGAGAGCACCTTGAATTTGTGTAACACTCTACAGCTTCTAAGGCTCCCTGACAAATATCTAAGTCTTCACCAAGGTGTGATAGATAACATAAACCTCAGGAGGTACAGATGCACTTAGGTGGTACGTGGAAATTTTTAGTTACCTTAATGCATTTTAGGGAAGACTTAATTAGCAAGTGAAAAATCATGATTTCACATGTATTATTTCTTATGATTAAGGTGGTGATTATCTATTTAGTGAGTATATTTGAAGAGAAAACTGAGACCTTCAGAAACCTGTTCTTTCAAGCACAGACTATTTGCGTACTAAATATTGAGTACGGGATTTTTGACTGAGAGCGGGTTCTCCTAGCAGACAATTAGCCAGGCATGTAGGCATTTTTTTATCATCCCAACTGAGGTGGAGGGAGCTGCAGGGACCAGTGATTACAGGCTGCTAGGCATCCTCAAGTGCCCAGGGACGCTCCCACTTCAAAGAATCCTCCAGTGCAATAAATAAATAGTGGTGAGTTGACGGGCTGAACGGCAGTGGATACGGATCTGATGTAGGCTGTTCATGGCTGTATTCATACCTGGAATGGATACCAAATTGTCATCGTGGCTATTAGTAGAATATAGACCAAAGATCCAGGGAAGACAGAGGTCAAATGTGGGGTTGCTTATATATATTCATCTCATTGGGCACTCTATCTCTTTTGAACTTCAAATTTCTTCCTGGATGTCGAGATTTCACCTCTATAGCAATGGAGGCATGTAGCATAATGGTTAGCAGCACTGTTTTTTGTGTGTAGAGGAAGAAATATGTGTTTATGTGTATGGTGTATGCAGCCATGTGTGTGGTGGAGGAGGAACAAGTAGGTGTCCTGCTCCACATTCTGCCTTATTCCCTTGAGAGAAGTCTCTTGATGAGCCTGAAGCTCACAGCTTTTCTTTCATGCAGGCTGGCCAGCAGACCTCAGAGATGCTCCTGTCTTCACTCCTCACCACTGAGTTTACAGGCCTGTACATCATATCCAGCTTGAAAAAATATTCAGTAGTTTTTAGTTTTGACAAATCATGCTCGTATACAGTACACTGTGACTATATTCACCCCCTCCACTACCCTCTTTCCACTCCCACTGGCCCTTTCTTCTTCCAAACTAGCCCCCCTCCCCGCCTCCATTTAGGCAGTTAGTTACACAGCTATGTCATGCTCAAAAGACAGCACTCCATCACACTCTTCCCCATCCTTTGGCTCCCGCAGTCCTTCCTTTCTTCCCCTCTTCCCTGACATTTCCTGGGCTTAGGTGAAGTGACATCAATGTTCTATTGTGATCAAGCACTCTGAACAGTCACTTATTTTCAGCACTTTACCTGACCTGAGTCCCTGCTTTGACCTCATTGCTGGAAGAAGTTACGCTGACCAAGGCCAAGAGATTCACTAGTCTACGGCTTTAAACATACATGTTCAGAAAAGAGCTTAGCTACATCTACATTTGCATGCCTGGCATTTGATGTGGGTGCTGGGGATTTGAACTTAGGTCCTCATGGTTGCACAGCCAACTCAGCCATCTCCCACAGGCCATCACCACTCTTTGGAGTGGAACCCCAGCTGCCTCACTTCTCAGCGGTATACATCTAGGAAAAGCCTTCATTTTCTCGCCTGCAAAGTCAGAGTGATGGTTGGCGTAGTCTTTTTTTCTCAGCATTATTAAGAGGATCAAATAGAGCAAGTATACAATCTCTTCAGCAGTTCCAGACCATGCTTGCGTTCTGCTAATTATAACGATTATTAATTCCCTGCACTGCCTCTTTATGTATTCTGTCTTTACAATGGGAAGAATATTCCCTAGTGTCCAGTGCTGTGCACCTAGAGTAAGCCTTTTCCCTCTTCCTATCTTTCATATGCTAGGTAATTTTGTCTAGGATTTCACTCTAGCCCCAGAAGGGTGATGTGATTTCCATTGGGGATGGGGCAGTGTAGCACAATAGTCACTACCATACATGCTGAGAATTAATTTTAAATGATGATCAGCAGCAGAAGATATTTTCAAGCAAGAAATGGCTCTGTCCCTCATAAGCTGGCCCCATTGCTTTTATCAGTTCAGTCTAGATCAGGTTAATAGGACTTTCAAATAAGGAAAGGGGCAAGAGATAGAGCATGTCTGCTCTTACTGGGTTTAAAAATCACTTACCTCTTAGAAAACGCAGGTAAGACTGGGGAGAAGGGGGCAGGGGTGTGAAACTCCACACCGCTGGCTCAGGACACAAGTGGGTTCCACATGATCACCAGCAGAGCACCTCCAGTTTGGCTAGAGACAGTCTAAGCATGGAGGACATCTGTGCACAGATCTCTGAGGTGGACATCTTTCAAGGGTCTTCTCTCCTCTGTGACATCAGGCTATTTGACAAAGTCTCCCTAGAGGTTCCCAGTTGATCATTTTCCCTGCTAACAAAGCTTCTTTCTGCTCTCACACCCGAGCGTCACACTAGTGAACAGCACCATGCCTATGCATCCCCGCTGGGGCAAGCCTTCTTCATGTGTGTGGAATGACCAGCAAAGTGCTTTGAACAGGGTTTGGATTCCAAGGCTGGAGGAGGCAGACTGAGCAGACTTCCATCATTCCAGGGCAGCTCCAGAGCTATAGGCCAGCGCAGCTGTAGTTGTTTAGGCATTCTGTGTCTGGCCCCAGACTGCTGTTTAGGGTCTGAGTGGGCTTTGTGTACAGATAATGTCAACAGGCTGCCCCGACTCTCAAAGAAAGAGATTGTTGTTTTTCTTGAGTATTTTTCTGAACACCCCCCCATCCCCCCACCCCCCCACCCCCATCTCCCCACTCCCCCCACCCCCACCCCCAGGAGGATTGCACTGATCAATGAAGATTTCCACTTCAAAAGCTCTGTTTATATTTTCAGGGACAAATGATATTTTGATGACTCATTCTAACAGCAGCTGTAGGGGGAACTGGGTAAAGGTTAATAGAATTTAACTAAAAAAAAATCATGAAACAGTTAAATGGCAAAATGTCTGACATAAAACCATTGGCTAGACAAAGGACAGGGACTCGTAGCCTCAGCTGTACTTTCAAATGATCTGTGATATTCTGAAACATCCAGTTTGGGGAACCAGGGAAGTGGCTCAGTTGTTAGAGTATTTTACCGCATAAGGGTCTGAGTCTATATCCCCCAACCAACATGAAAAGTCTGGCAAAACAGCATTTCTGTAATCCCAGCACTTGGGCCTTGTGTGGCTGCAGGCAGATCCCTGGAGCTTGCTAGCCAGCCAGCCTCACTGAATCCCAGGCTCCAGGTTCATTGAGAAATCCTGTTGCAAAAATAAGGTGGAGAATGACCAAGGAAGACAAGTGGCATTTGTAAGGTTTTGGTCCTTATTTACGTCCTTAATTACGTCATCAGCCTTTGCCGGCTTCCCAGCCTAAAAAGGGGGTGGGCCCTCTGTGGGCTCTCTCTGTCCCCTCTCCTTTGTGCTCCTTCCCCCCCCCCCCCCGTCGGTCCCCCTCTCTCCCTCTCCCCCCCCTTCTCTCTCTCTCTCTCTCTCTCTCTCCTCCCCCCCCCCCCCCCCAATAAAGCTCTAAAAAGGTAATCATGGCTATGATTCTTTTAATCAGCACGCTCCTCCACGGGCATGGCCGCCGCGGGCGGTGACCAGCCACGAGGGGCAGCTCAGCGGCAAAACCAACAGCATTGACCTCTGGCCTCCATACAAGCAAGCACACACTGCAAGTCCACTCACATGCTCACACACATGCAGGAGAACACACACACACGATTGCGTGTGAGCACACACACACATACACACACACACAGAGAGAGAGAGAGAGAGAGAGAGAGAGAGAGAGAGAGAGAGAGGAGAGAGAGAGAGAGAGAGAGACTTTAAGAGCTGGGCATGATAAGGTCTGCTTGTTATCCCAAGCTCAGGAGATGGAGACAAGAGGTCTGGGGTTCTGGACCAGGCTAAGCAACAGGATGAGATCCTGTATAACAAAGAAAAGAAAATTCCAATTTGAAACATCCAAGCTAATGTCAACCCCATGACTAACAAAAGCAGAACCCATAGGTTCTCTGAGGTGTCTGCTACTTTTCTTAAACCTTCACAGATGATTCACTGGGGATTCATGGTGGACAGCTCCTGACCTAAACTGACAGAGTGTGGCATACTTGGTTCTCTTAGAGAAAGTAGAAATGACTGTGTAATACATACAACATGGTGGCATGCACTGTATGAAGCCCAGGGATTTCTGTAAGAACATATTAGCTAATTTCCTGAGGTATGTGAAGGTATGTTCACAGAAGAGAATAAGAGTGATTTTTAAGGAAGATGCTGAGTCTACTAATGGGTAAGAAGCAGGGAGGGAGAAAGTAGCTGGCATGCTCTCAATGAAAGAACAGCCAGGAAGGAGCTGGAAATTTCCTACCCATAACCATCAGACTCAGTGACTTAACTCAGGAACTACCTTTGACTGATGAAAAAATCAGTAGCTAGAAAATTCTTTCTCTTTAGTCGAGCTGAAAGTAAAAGTTAGAAGGCGGTGTGTATGCAAAGACTTCTGAGGTAAGAGGTGGCAGAGTGGCCTCAAGGGACTGCTTTTCACTTGGACTGTTCATATTCTTAAAGTATTTGTTAGCACTTCAAACCACCATGGTAATACGTATATCCTGGAACAGATAGCCAACCAGACAGACATACACACATAGATATGCATGCACACGCACACACACATGCACACATGCACACACACACACACACACACACACACACACACACACACACACACACACACAAATCTGCTGAAGAACTTGGACACCATGATGATGCTTTTAGGTTTCCTTTCCTCAGAATGTTTTAGTGTCCTTCTACATGTTTGGACTGGGTCATGCTTAGGGTACCATCTCTCAGTGGGATTGTGAGGACATTTACAGAGAGTAGACCCTGAAGGTTCTGACCTAATGGATGAAGCAATTCCTTGATGAATTCAGAATTTGAATAGTCTGTGGGAGGTGGTGGAACTACAGAACATGTGGTCTAGTCCCAGGAAGCAGGTTACTGGGTAAATGTCCGTGAGGGATCTCTCTTTCCCTGTCCCCTTTTGTATTCCATAGTTTGTTCTCTTCCTGGACACTGTGACATGTATGTTCTGCTCTGCCATGCTTTGCTAGCCATGACAGACAGATACTTCTGAAACTGTGAGCTAAAATAATCCTTTCCTCAGATTGGGGGAAAGGCTGGGGGGCAGGAGGAGGGAGGACAGGGGAATCTGTGGTTAGTATGTAAAATGAATAGAAAATCTCTTAATAAAAAAAATAATATTTTTTCCTTCTGGCTGCAAACACTGTCCTCTGAGCAGAAGAGCCATCCTATCTTCATCAGAGCAGCTGCAATTTCTTGCAAGAGTCCTGAGAGATTAGGCCTGTTGGACACATAAGAGTGGAGGGGAGGGTCGTTAGGGACTTGAGATTCCAGCCACTGTCTCCTGAAGCCCTTCTCAAATGTGTGTAATTCTGCCCAGCTATCTGCAGTCCTAGGATGTCCGAGGGTATGCAGTGGGTGGAAAGCTAATGGATGGGAGCTTAATCTGTGCAGGTTTGGGGAAGTCATCATCCATGTGCTGGTGAGACCTACAGTCCTATAAGTAATATCTCACCCATGCCCTGTAAGTAAGCCAAATACACTCACTGGCTCACTGTAGACAAATTTCTCTGGTCCTGCCTTGCCCAGCAGTCAGGACAAATATCTCCCACCCGCAGTCCTGTGGCCACTTATAAAATAATTACACAGAGGCTTATCTTAATTACAAAGTGTATGGCCTACAACTTTAGCTTCTTACCAGCTAGCTCTTTCATCTTAAGTTAATCCATTTCTATAAATCTGCATGTTGCTACCCGGCCATGGTGTTACCGGTCTGCTGATACATTGTTGCTCCTTCAGCGGCAGGCTGGTGTCTTCTACCCTGACTCTGCCCTACCCTTCTTTCTGTATCTCTGCCTGGATTTCCTATCTGGCTGTAAGCTTTCTTGACATAGGCCAAAACAGCTTTATTTATTATCCAATGGGAGCCACACATATTCACAGCATACAGAGAGACATTCTCACTAAGTAGGACTGAGGTAGAATTCTATCTTTGGGCTACCATCAGTGCCTTATCTAGGTGGAGTAGTCATTTGTCCACATCTGTCCAGTAAAAGCTGCCATACCCCCAAGTCACTCAGCTAGGCATTTTGGTTACGGCTACAGAAGTGTAATGAACAACCCAGTCATGCCATAACAAAGCTTTGGACAGCACCAGCTTTGTTTAGAGCAACATTTGCCTAGGTTAGTTCACTAAGCAGATCCAAAATGTTGGCAGTGGGGTCAAAGCCCTGCTTCCTCTTGGCATGGGACTGTCCCATGTTGACCTTCCTGAATTAGTCCAAATGACCTGTGTTAAACCTGATCTGTGGTTCTTCCCACCACCAACTTTTATTCCAATCTCCAGTTACTTCTGGTGTTCACAGGGGACTGTTTCCATGGCTCTGACAACCTTGATGTTTAAGGTCTTCCTCACTTTGAATGGTGTACCAGTGACAGAGACATTGGTTTGGGTTTTAAGCTGCAACATCTTCAAGAGGGCAGCCAGTGCAAACAATTGTAGCTGCTGTTACAGAAGTGATTTATGAAGACTTGTGTAAGTCTGGAGACGTGAAGGGAATTTTGGCAATCACATTCATGTTTGAGGTCGACACCAGTCAAACCACCGAGTGACCAAGTGTCAGCTGAGCTGTGAAGAGGCTCGTGTGTCATCTGTCATCCTTCCAGCCACCATAGTTCATAGTGGGATTACCCATAATGCCCTTGTTTTGTTTTATTGCCATGTGGCCCAGTCTATCCTTAAACTCAAACTTCTCCTTCGCTGTCTCAGTCCTAGGATTGCAGGCATATGCAGCACCATGCCCAGCTGCAACCACAGTAATTAAAAAAAAAATCAAGAACTTAATCTGCCCTAAATGTGCTAACTATTTTAAGAAATTCTCTGCCACTTATGCTTTATCTGTAATACTCTCCAAATGTCTTACTTGCATATTTGATCACTTATAAGGGTAAGATTTTAGGAAATTTAAAGGGATATTTTCTCTGTTTTGTAGAAAATCATATTGACTTTGATTTACATATACCACCCTCCAAGTGTGTTTTGGTAACATGCTTCCAATAGATCAGTGTTGGGAGGCAGGGTTGGAGACCTGAGAAAGGTAATTAGGCCATAAAAACTCCCAGAAAGGTTTACATCTCTTTATCAACAGGACGGATTCCCTATAAAAAATGCATCCTCCCTCCTCCTCTTGCCTTCTATTGCTATTCTGCATTCTGGCACAGGATGGAAAGCCCTGGCATTCTTCTGAGTCACTAAGGGATTTGGATGTTATCTGGTAATTACAAGGATGCTCAGACTTTGTTAGTACATCAAAGGCCACACAATGCACAGTCCTGTGCTGCAGGTGAACCACATGAATTGGCATCTGCAAGA